ACTTCGGTGTTGGCCTTTCCTTTGGCACAGCCCTGAGAATGCCAGGAAAGGAGAGAGGAACACAGCAGCATAGATTAGCCAGTAGTGTCCTGCAAGACCTTGGAAACTGGACCAAAGCAATTAAATTCACTAACAACTCAGCTAAGAATACCTGCCCCAGAGTTTGAACTGCTGTGAGGCACATGCTATAATCTACAGGAAACACACCCCTTCAGATTCAGTGGGACAGAGGCCTTGCCAGTGCATATCACTGGTCAAGTCCAGTTGAATTTGGAATCGGCAGCTGTTGTTTTGAATAAGATCTGAGAAGTCTGATCTTGAAACCACATGATTCCCAGAGTAGTTCTGGATGGGACTGCTTGTAGGAGGCTGGGGATGTGCCAAAGCTGTTAGAGGACCACGCCAAAAGTCATGGGGAAGAGAGATTAATAATTCCCTCTGCTGAAGATCCTGCTATGCTAAGTGCAGCAGGCAGCTGTGGGGCTGTAGGAAGCAGGGAGGAGAACAAAGGAAAGTTGGACGGTTGCAGTTGGCAGTAGCTGAGCAGACAGCTTTTCCTCCTAAGCAGCTGGGAGGACCTCCAAGCCTTCTGAGCAGATGCTTGTTTGGGATAAGCATTAGCCTGGGTCACCTCCTGGAGGGGAAGGGACTCTTTTATCTCTAATGCTTGGTTTGGGGGAGGAGAAGGTACCTGCTGTCTATTTTAGCGAGGCACTGGAAAGTGGCTGAAGATTGGTTGATTCCTGGATCAGAAGGTCCCTTGTTAGTGACTCTGCCAGCTAGTGGGAGGGGGAGCTGGTCAGACTTTGTCCTTGGGGGATGATCAGGCCAGCTCTCTGCTGAGTTATCTCCCAGCACAGTTTGTGCCTGCTGCTAATTTCAGTTCCCCCCAACACACCCTCTCTCTAGACTTATCAAGAGTTGGGACATAGCTATAGGGAAAGCCCGTCCTGTGTAGGATTCTGTCTGTCACTGTCCCTAAGCCTGGGGCTGAGATTGTCTGCTGAGGTGAAGCTTTTGGGAGCTGTAATGTCAGGGGGAGGGAACTCCACTTTTGGAGCTGGAGACAAGACAGTGAACTTTGAGTTTCTGCACTTCTCATAGCCAAGTGCTCTCCAGACTGCTGCTCTAAGGGAAGCAACTACCTGTCGAGGTCACAGCAGCCCCCAGAAACTTGTCACATCACAAATCCCAGTAGCTAGCAGTGGGTGCATGTCCATCTCCTCATTAGATACCAGCAAGTCCCTGCATCTCTCTGCTCCCACCACTTCTCTTCCTTCAATTCTGGAGACCAATCTCGGGTTACATTTTATCACCTCTACACCAGCAGCCCCTGACTGCTCTTAGCACTTCTCTTCCTAGGCTGTCTAACTACTCACCATGTGCTGCCGCATGGTCTCAACATCCATTTTGATCTTGCGAGTGAATTCCAAGTTCTTCTGCAGAAACAGCTGGAATCCCTGGTCCCCTGAGAACTCTGACAGGGGAGCTGCATGCAGCATGATGTATTTCAAGCACAGCAGGGTGCTCAACAGCAAGGATGGAATAGCTGGAGATGAGGGGAGGAGAGAAAGAAGCAATGTGAGTTGGTAAGTGCTGAAGAATCCAGAGGTGCAGAATACAGAGATAGAAAAGTGATCTCACTGTTCATTCAGATGAGATCATGTCAGTATGACAGTAACAACAGGCAGCCCCGAAAGAGATTGGACCCAATATACCAGGTGCTGTATATCTACACAGTAAGAGACAGTCCCCACCCTGAAGAACCTTCAAGGGGAGGTGTTCCCATGTAATGTTTCTAACACATTCCTACTCAAGGATCTTAGTTTAACAAAATGCAGTTACATATCAAAGCTCTTTTAGTTAAAATCACATCAGCCAGTTGGTTTAAATCCCCTCTATTTTCTGATGCTCAGAACTCTAAAAGTTTTTTGAGAGTGAAACACCCCTTGCTATGTATATTCAGAAGGTAATTCCTGCCTGCATAAACTGTACATCTCTTAGACTTTTTTTATCCTCACTGGCATAATTTTCCTGATTGTAAATAGAAAAGGAAGGGAGGAGGGGGGAGAAAAAATGTTTTTTAAATCGTAAAAACTATCCAAGCCTCCCCCAGAAGTCAACCCAGGAGTTGCTAGTCCCAAAAATAAACTTACCAGTACCCTTGCATATAGTAAATCCAAGCAGTTTGCAACTAGGAAATGGTGCCTATGATTTCTGTTGCTGTCGGGTGAAGAGCTTATACTTACTTCTCAGAGGATTCATTCTAGTGCCTGAAAGCCTTTTGGTATCTCCTCCCACTTGTTTTATGACGGTGCGCTGGGAAAGGGTGTAAGACAGACGCAGGGCTGCACCAGTCCTTTTTGTTCGTGAATGCTGTGAGACTCCAATTGATTATGATATTTATAGAAGACTCAGGGAATTCACGCTGATGTAATAAGATGAGGCAATTATTACTAATCAGTGAATATGCAAATACATTTTTCTGAAAATAACATATTAGGAATTTTAATTTGTGGGGATCATTTGTTTTTCATTTAGATTTTTCTTTAGCAAAAATTTTGTTATTTTGTAATTCCTCTGGGACAGCCCTGGACTGGATTTTTTTTTTCTTTTTTCTTCTTTTCTTGTAGTGTCTGAGAGTTGCTCCCTCCTTTTGTGTAATTAATCGATTGTTATTGCCCTTTCAGGCCACCCTAAAAAAGCTGCTCCCCAAAATATCAGCCACTTCCTTCATTCCCATCAAAGATTAATTTGGGAGATGAAATGATGTCTCAGAACTGATCAGGGTGTGGTTTGCTTACAAAATCCACTTCCCAATTTCAACTTAAGAGTTCTGACCTAGCAATAAAATGGCACCCAACCAAATAAATGGAACTCAATGGGATGCAGGTGCCTTTTAAGTGTTCTACCTGGCCTTCAGTATGTGTGTTTACTTACTTGCTGATTTAATTCCTGTTTTTTAGATTCTTTGTTATTACTGGGCTTGAATAGTGTCTTTCTTCTCAAGCATCTTAAGAATTACGGATTTGTTAGTTTAGTGCTATCACCAGATCATGAAGGAGGAGGTGAAATAACCTTTATGTTGCACTTTCCTTATTGCTTTACACTCGAGCAGAACCAATGACATTCTTTCCTGCGTCATATGCTGCACCTACAATTACCTTTAGTTACCTGCCATTGTTTCCTGGTATATCTCTCTGCCACAGATTTGGAGGCCTTCACTGTGGCATGCAGGCTGTGGATCTTACTCACTATGAGCACATCCCTATGAAGTAGGTTTGTTATCCACAGACAGAGAAACTGAGGCATGGGACTCTCTAAGGGATTAATGATTTCACATGGCCTATTTGAAGTCCCTTATTATGGGGGCTGTGATTTTCCCACAGTATATCACCCTCTTGTTCTGCTGCTGCTCAGATGGGGATCAGTCTCCCATGGGGAGAGAGAGACACTGAAGTGCTCTTCAGCAGTGTTACTCATATCACGCAAGAACCTGATGGGCATGATCCGGACTTGATCTCCAAGAGATTGCCCTTGCACCAACAGACAGCAATGCAATTATTTCCCAAACTGATAGATGTGGATCTGATGTCAGTTTTTCCTACAGCCTCAGGGTAATGATTTTGGCATGCTAATGGGGAAATCTCTACCTGCATTTCCAGGACTGGCTGCTTTTCCTGTACCAGCTGAGTGACTCCCAGAGGGGGAAGGGACCAAATCTTTAGCCTCTGGGATTTACAGAGCAGGGGTGCAAGCACAGCCAACTGGCAGTGACAGCTGAGTCAGTTGGGTTCACTTAAAATGTCTTGGCACAGTTTCTTTAACCACAAGTTCAGGGCACAACCTTCCGAGGAACAAGGAAATGGGATGCTGAGTAGGTAACCTACATCAATGCATAGGAAGTAAAACTCATCTGACAGCATCGTAGCATGAGGATTGAAACTGGGATTATATTGTTGCTGTTCTGGCATGCACCCCTCGCTGTGCGGCAGGACAGGGAATACACTAGGGAGCCAGGAGCCCCATAGCTTTTAATCCCACTCCAGCACTGACTCCCCTGTGCAGTCTTGATCAACTCACTTGACCTTTCTGGGCTATATGGGCTAAGAATATGGGTTCCCTGAACCTCAGTATGCCAAGGAAAGCACCCTTCAGTTCCCATGCTTGTGCTCCACACTTACGTATAAAATATATAGCGGCCCAGAGCATTGGGTGCAGGCTGATTTACACCAGCTGTTGACCTGGACCTTTCTTTCTAGCCCTGGTAGGGACAAATGAGTGTGGAAAGGGAGGCAAGGTCTGAGACAGCAGCACAATTCTGGGGGAAGGGAGCATAAAAATAGCCTCCATGCTGCTGGCCTGGCCACTGCTACCACTGCCAGCAGCCTGGACTATATGACTGGATTAGGAGGTAGACTAGATGATCTCATGAGGCCCCTTCCAGCCCTACTTTCTTATGATCTTCAGACTAGCATGGCTGGGGTGATGCAGGTGCTAAGGCAGCCTAGAGGATGCAAGTTCAAGGCCATAGCAGCAGTGCTCATGGTGCTGCCTGTCAGATTTCAATGAAATGAATATGCAAATTTTGTCACAAGGACACAGGAAAGGAAGGTCTGAGACCCTCTTGTGCTAATTCTGTTGGAGATTCTGTCTGCCAAATTATAGCCTAGTGGGCTGGGGGGAGGCTGTGTTGGAAGCCAGGACCCCCATTCTCTGCTCTACTCCCTCTTTTTGATGTCCATTCTTGGGAAGTGGTGGCACCAGTGATGTTCAACAGAATGCAGGTGTTTGTTAGGGACAACTTGCTTTGTTTTTCTGCAGTGATCTGATTAGCATCAGATCCCCAGACCAGCTCAGGAGTGTTCATCTCTCTGCTGAGGACCAGTGGGGCAGCACCACACTGCGTCAGGCTCAAGAGGGTGATGATTTGCAGAGCTTTGGCATGAGGGATTTCACCTCCTGTGAATCTCTAAGCTTCCCTCAGGCTCCCTCTCTCCACAGTGCGGCTTTGAGCCATGAGACCTAACAGAGCTTTGAAAAGGAAAAGAAGGATGTTGTGAAATCCTTCCTCTGGCCATTGGACTTCGAAGCTTTTGAAGGTGTGCCCTGAAGCAGCTGCGCAAGTTTCCTTGACACTAAAATGAAAGATCATGTGGGCTGGTTAGGGGAAGGCCAGTGGTGACGCAGAGTCAGGTCGCAGCACTGACCGCTTTCACTATTTGGGGATTTTAAGAAGAAAAAAATGAATCAGTGATGCAAACAGAGCGAGTAAACCCACATGTGCTTTCTGGGGAAGGAACTGCCCACGTACCCAGGAAGGGCATGGATGGTGCAGGGGACACAGGACAGGCATGATCCCAAGGCAAAGGAGAAGCGGAGTTTAGGTCAAGTGTGACCTGTGTGCTGGGTAAGCACAGTCCTTCTCTTGGTGTCAGATGGTGAACAGATGGTGGGGATGGCTAACAAGGCAATGGGATAAGAGAGACCTTTGAGCCAGGGTCCTTTGCCCCCAAGTGTGAGTGTTGGAAACAATACCCCCGAATCTGTCCCTGCTGACCCACTCATTCTTGTGTGGGCCCAATCTTGTCCTGCCACTAATCATGCTGGCACCCTTGCTGGAACCATGCTGCCAGCAAACCAGAGCCATGGACCTTTTGGGCACTATTAGTCGTGCTCCAGGGGTGGGGGTGCTTTAATCAGAACAGCTCCAAAAACTACTCTAATTAAAGTACCGCTGTCTCCTATATTAGTGTCCCTGCACTTCAAAATGGCAGTGTGGGCACTTGACCTAAAGCTCATTCAATGGGGACGCTGATACAGGAGACCTAGGAGGCAGCTGGAGCTTGGCAATTGTTATACTCCAGTGGCCTTAATTAATCAAGTCTGCTGTGCCGTGCTGGAATTCCAGTGTGTTGGAGCAGCCTCCACGCTCATGTATAGACGCCCTTTGGTACCACCTGACATGGGCACACAGGGCACTCCCATCAGGGTAAGAGGAGGCAGGACTTTGGTTTTACTCCGTGTTCTGATCCTGGCAGTACATTTTTGGAGTCTGAGTCTCAGCTGAGTTGCCCCTGGTGATGGGGCATCTGTCTCCCAGATGGATCATTCTGTGTCTAGAGGTCTCATTGATAGGGGAGGTTCCTCATGGCTCCAGCTGAGGTTTACTTTTGTCCTGGGGCCTATGCCTTCTGGGAGAGAGCTAGTCTTTCTGTGACTCCCCCTTGCATGTGGGGTCCGGCAGCTGAGCAGAAATCTTGTGATCTTAACCCAGAAGACAGTAGACATTTTTGTCCTGGGCTGAGGTTGCATGGGAACCTGCAGGCCAAGGTCATCTTGAATCCTCTTCCTTGCTTCTCCTGATTTCCCTTGGTGTAATGGAGGACAGGACTGAGCCCTCTGGGTGGAGATGAGCCTGGTTTAAGAAATCCTGGCTTCTCTCTCAGATTTACCCATTGGGACAAGGCTCAGCTCTTTCAGTTAGCTGCAGGCACTGCCCAATTGCAAGTGGAACTGCATGGCATACCAGGCACTGCATGTAGTGGAGATCACGCTTTGGCAATGCAACTGCATCCAGTTGTCTCAGCACTTGGCTGGGTCTGTCCAAGCCTCTCTGGGAGGGAGAGGAAGCAGGATGTGGTGCTTAGGGCACTAGACTGGAAGCCCAGTGTCCCCTTCTTTTCTTTGCCCCCAGCTTCCTGTGTGACCCTGGGCAAATCGCTTGGCCTGTCAGTGCCATCTGTACAGTGAAAATAACAGCAGGGCCACAATGGGGGATGAAGATGATTTGTTGCTCAGGTAGCCCAGGATGCAGCAGCACCCATCACTGGAGTGTCTGGATGTCTCCATGTACAATGGTAACAAACCTTCAGCCCTGAAGATGCCCCTGGGGTATAGTATTTGCCTGCTGGGAGGGCTAATTTGCTTTAAAATGATCCACTAAAATGAAATTCCTTGGTTGG